TGCGAAGCTGCTTGGCGGATGTGGGAGCGGGCCACTCCGCAACAGCAGTGATCTTCGCGTCGTCCATGTGGTGACCCTGGTCAGACACGTAGTGTCCTATGAAATTCACTTTGTGCTAGGCAAAGGTGCTTAGCTTGGCGTAGAAGCCATGTCTGCGCAAGCGGTCAAGGACGTCGCGGAGGTGTCTGAGGTGCTCCTCAAGGGAACGACTATAGACCAGGATATCGTCGAGGTAGACGAGAACGTACTGCTCCAGGATGTCCCTGAAGATGTCGTTCATCGCCCTBTGGAAGGTAGCGGGTGCGTTGGTGAGGCCGAATGGCATCACCGTGAACTCGTAGTAGCTGAATCGCGATCGGAACGCGGTCTTCGGCTGGTCGGCTGCAGCGACGCGGATCTGATGGTAACCGCTACGAAGATCAATCTTCGTAAAGAAGCGGTTACCTGCTAGGCGGTCGAACAGCTCATCGGAACGAGGCATGGGGTAGTTGTTCTTAACCATGTAGCGGTTGAGGCCGCGGTAGTCGATGCAGAGACGAAGAGTTTCATCCGCTTTGCGAGCAAAGAGGACGGGTGCACCCCACGGGGAGTTGCTGGGTTTAATGAAACCCAGTCTTAGGAGCTCCTCAAGCTGACGCTTGAGTTCGGTGGCCTCGGGGATCGAGAGTCTGTAGGGTGCCTGGTGGTGAACACGATAGTCAGGCACGAGCTGAATAGAGTGCTCGACGTCACGCATCGGTGGGATGCCGGCGTACGAGAACGACGATGGGAAAACGTCGTGGTACTCTCGGATGAGGTCACGAACTGCGGGCTCCAAGTCAGTCGTATATCGTGCGAGTTCCTCAGCGTCAGCGTCAGCGCGCAACGACGGGGTGGACTCGACGGACGGCGGAGGGATGGAAGTAGAGATGGGAGCCATGGAGATAGAGGGAGGATCTGGCTCCAGAGGGATGAGCTCGGCGTCGGGACAGGGTGGATCATAGTGTAAGAGATCCGTCACATCCACCATAAAGAAGGTGACGTCGTCCTGTCGAATAAAATGAGCGAACTGTCGAGCCGAGGTGACAATGATAGAGGGAGATGGTGTGGGCACTGAAGGCTCCGGGGGAGGAGGATCGGGACGTGGTGTCGCCGTGGTACCTATGAAAGGTACGCGATACATCTATCCACACTTCGTTTTGAGAATGAGAGTGTTGGTCGCCCAATCGGCCTCGTTGTTGCGGAACCGACGAGACCACGGAGTGCCGAGAATGAGGTCGTACCCCGTCTCCATCACATCAAAATGTGCAGAGGAGCGGTGGCGACGAGACGTCGGGGAACGCTCAGTCAACTCGAGAGTGAGGAAGAAGGGGAGGTCGGTGACCGTCTGATCGAAGAAGCGCTGGGTCTTGTCATCCCCTAGGGTAACGGAGAT